AAAAATGTGCTACATGGGAAACCTGATCATTTGGCTTTAGCACAAATTTAAACGATTAAAAACCTTCTTCAAGAAGTTTGCTTGAATGTGTAACAACCCAAAAGAACGGGTAGGGATCAGGGCTGCACATGCAACCTCACCTCTTTCATTCTCTGATCTCCAAGGGTTAATCAGAAAGTCTAAAGTAATCTACGCTTGCAACCCATGAAATCTGGAATCCTGTGGAAGCAGGGCCTTTTTTCATCCAAAGATGTGTGATTTATCATATAATCAGTTATCCTTTCGATCTCTCATCTAAAAACATAGTCAGACTTAATGAATGCCAGCGAGCATGCCCAATCTCTGCTCACTTTCAAACCCTCCTATATTCCAGCTTACTTGAGTAAGATGAGTATCTTTTCATCAGCAGCAACGTGCATTCATATGCATTCACTAGGGCTGCAGTGATGAGATGGAAAGCAATAGATAAATAGGGCCCCCAATTAATGCTATGTCTCTCTTCTATACCCACTACATTTCCAAGAGTAATAAACTTTGTAAAATGTATGATTGATATTGATCTGTGTAGTAGGGGTGAGTATTTCCTGCCATTGCTAAGCAGCATTTTAATCAACTAATCAAACTTGGCTCAAGGGGAAAGCAAGCTCTAGGTTTGGCAGCAATTAGCACAACATTTCCAACAAGAGGAGCACATCACTGGGCCCAGTCTGCTTAGGTGTTCCACCAGTCTGGACCCAGCAGGTGAACCTTCTCTGCCATGACACCTGTCCTGTTGAACATCATCTCCCTTGAGATGTGATTGGCTCCAAACCTATTGAACTTAAGAAAATCCTTAAAATTTTGAATGCACTCCCATGTTTTTGTTTATATTTTTAATGGTTTTGTTTTAATTATGTGCACTGCCCAAGCTACATTCTGTCAGCTCTTCAAGATAGTCCAGACAAGAAGCATCAACCATAAGTATTAACACCACCGTAATTGTAATCTAGTGGTTAAGGCACCAGGCTGGAAAGGAGTCCGTGAGTTCAAATCAATCAAACAAACAAACAAGGTTACAGTTATAGAATCTTGCAAGTCTGAAAGCACCTCTCCCCTTCCTTACTTTCATTCTGCCAAAAGCAAGGGAAGATGCCTTCTGACATGCTTTCTTACCCCCAGCTCTCCTTTAGACTCAGATTTCATCCATCAGACCATTGTGTAGTATCCCATGTGTCTCCCAAAGTCATTTTCTTATACCATTACATGCATATTAGATGGGCAGCTATATACAGGTGAAACTCGAAAATTAGAATATTGTGCAAAAGTTAATTTATTTTAGTAATGCACCTTAAAAGGTGAAACTAATATATGAGCTAGACTCATTACATGCAAAGCAAGATAGTTCAAGCCATGATTTGTCATAATTGAGATGATTATAGCTTACAGCTCATGAAAACCCCAAATCCACAATCTCAGAAAATTAGAATATTACATGCAATCAATAAAACAAGGATCGTACATAGAACAATATCAGACCTCTGAAAAGTATAAGCATGCATATGTACTCAGTACTTGGTTTGGACCCTTTTGCAGCAATTACTGCCTCAGTGTGGCGTGGCATGGAAGCTATCAACCTGTGGCACTGCTGAGGTATTATGGAAGACCAGGATGCTTCAATAGCGGCCTGCAGCTCTTCTGCATTGTTCAGTCTCATGGCTCTCATCTTTCTCTTGGCAATGCCCCATAGATTCTCCATGGGGTTCAGGTCAGGCAAGTTTTCTGGCCAATCAAGCATAGTAATCCCACGGTCATTGAACCAGGTTTCGGTGTTTTTGGCAGTGTGGGCAGGTGCCAAGTCCTGCTAGAAAATGAAGTCAGCATCCCCATAAAGCTCATCTGCAGAAGGAAGTATGAAGTGCTCCAAAATCTCTTGGTAGATGGCTGCATTGACTCTGGACTTAATGAAGCACAGTGGACCAACACCAGCAGATGACATGCTCCCCAAATCAACACAGACTGTGGAAACTTCACACTGGACTTCAAGCATCTTGCAGTGTGTGCCTTTCCATTCTTCCTCCAGACTCTGGATCCTTGGTTTCCAAATGAGATGCAAAAGTTGCTCTCATCAGAAAAGAGGACTTTGGACCACTGAGCAACAGACCAGTTCTGTTTTTCTTTAGCCTAGGTAAGATGCTTCTGATGTTGTTTGTTGTTTAGGAGCAGCTTGACAAGAGGAATATGACATTTGAAGCCCATGTCCAGGATCTGTCTGTGTTTGGTGGCTCCTGATGCATTGACTCCAGCCTCAGTCCATTCCTTGTGGAAGTCCCCAACACTTTTCAATGGCCTTTTCCTGACAATCCTCTCCAGGTTGCGGTTATCCCTGCTGCTGGTGCACCTTTTTCTTCCACACTTTTCCCTTTCACATAACTTTCTCTTAATGTGCTTTGATACAGCACTTTGGGAACATCCAACTTCTTTTGCAATTACCTTTTGAGGCTTTCCCTCCTTATGAAAGGTGTCAATGATGCACAACTGTCAGGTCAGTAGTCTTTCCCATGATTGTGATTCCTACTGAACCAGACTGAGAGACTATTTAAAGGCTCAGGAACCCTTTGCAGGTGTTATGGCTTAATTAGCTGATTAGAGTGGGACACTTTGAACCTAGAATATTGAACCTTTTCACAATATTCTACTTTTCTGAGATTGTGGATTTGGGGTTTTCATGTAAGCCATAATCATCTGAATTATGACACATCATGGCTTGAACTATCTTGTTTGCATGTAATGAGTCTATCTCATATATTAGTTTCACCTTTTCAGTTGCATTACTGAAATAAATGAACTTTTGCACAATATTCTAATTTTTCGAATTTCACCTCTACATTTGATAAATAAATAACAAAGCAGCTAAATCAAATAATCACACTCAAAAAAGTATTTAGTAAACAAGTATATTTTTTAAAAAAACCAAAGGACTAATTACCTTGTAAAGCAACACTTATTCAATGCTTTGTTTCTTCCATTCACTCTCTCATGTTGTAAAGAACGTATAGTTAAATCATTAGGATCAGGAACAACTATTTTTCATATGTGAGCCTTGTCTGTTCTCAACAGATAGTAGCACTTAGCTCCTTGGCTGATTCAAGAAAACAAAACACTAGGCAGGGTTGGCCCCAGGGCTGTAGGCTACAGGGATACATAGTTTGACTTGAGAGGGAATGTACCTTTATTGTTCAATGTTTGTCTAGCACCTAGCTTGTTTAATTGCTTTAGCTAAAAAATATAATGACACTACCTCCACCCCGCCACCCCATTCAGAAGAAAACTAAATTGGTAGTCCAATCTTATTTTATGGGACAAAGCCCTTCACTATAAGTGAGGTTCTAGCTCCTGATGTGCAGGACAGTCGATGAGGCACAAATTTCTGCTAAAATGAAGAGGAAGATGGAAAGATCAAGATAAATGGTGTGGAAATCCCATGGCTTCCTCAGTATTTTCTATCTGCTATAAAGCCAAGCTTGACCCTTTGTAACTTATTCTTTGGCACTTTACTTAGCAAACCCAAGTCCCTCTAACATCATGTGATGTTACACTACATCATGTATTGTACAGTGGAGGAACAGCATAATAGATTCTCACCCATCTGCTTTGTAACAGTTCTTATGAATTTGCTACTGGAATATAGGAAACTATGATTAACATCAGACGTTCACCCATCAAGCCCAAGAAATCTTTCCCATCATGTTTCACTTTAAATTATTTATTGGAAGTTCCAAAACTGGGAGTGGTATCTTCGGCATGCCATGCATGAGCATGACTATTGGGCTATTGCCCCTTCTTATGTATGACAACACTTATTTTATTAAAAATCTCAGAGCACTATAAAAATGTACAACAGAGAATAAACCAACTCTTATAACACAACTTTTCCAAGTCTAACTCTAATCAACTCTTAACAGCAAGATAGGATTCTAGAATGTTCAAATCTAAGGAAAGACTGAACAGATAAAGGGTTTTTCCAAACACGCACACTTTTGCCCAGTCAAGAATAAATATAATATTATGAAGAAAGCAAACATCTACTTACAGTCCTAGATAATTACAAGGCTCTGGAAACAGTTCACCAGTACTGAAATTGGACAAAACCCTAAGGGCCGATTCAAGCATACTATGTGAGTCTTGATTTATCAGCACTTGATTATGCAACAGTTCAGAATCAATATCTAAAGGTTGGGAACAGCCTGAATAATTTCTCTGACCACATCAATCTGGGGTGCTCAAGCTAGGCTGATTGTTTCAGCCACACAAACTTTTGTAACAATTCTGTTCAAACATTCAATCTATGCATGGAACCTTGCAAGACCAGAGGGATCTGGAGATGGCTATGCTAATTCAGGTCAACTCTTGATCCTTATAAATTCAGTGTGCAGGTCTAAAAGCAAATGCTAGTTGCATTTTTTTGTGTGTGCTTAGATGCATAAACAGTGTCTTCCTTTCTTATTTCCATATTGAGAATGGAGGGAATGGATAATATACAAGGGGCCATTGGGGACACAAGAAGCCTTCCTATACACTTTTTGAAATTTTCCAAGGTCAGCTAAAGGCCTGACTAGTGCTATACATATCTATATTATTCACAGAGGTTCCTGGTTCTTTCACATCTAGCATTCTTTGTTAATTTATATACAATGGACCTGCATTTTAAAGACCTCCTTTCCTTAGTTCAAACTTGTCACAGTTGGCCTATGCTGCCTGTTTTATTGCTTGGACAATTAAAAAACAAGTATTTAGGACAACAATTGATGTCAGGAAGCTTAATTAACCTAAACCCACTTCTTTTAGGTCTTCTATTGCATTTAAGCAACAAATGTTGAAGCACAACAACTAGAAAGAAGGAATCTCATTCCTCAAGGATATAAAGCAGTAGTAGCTGAACAATTCTACCTATGGTGCTACTGAACACATGCTTATATCTGAAAGTGTTCAGGCATCACTTTTCAGGACCACCGTAACCTTACCTCTAGGCTGGGTGTCTGGGTGCTCTCTGAGAAATGTTCCCTTGACAGCTGTCCTGCGGTATACCACATGGGTCCTTCCTTCTTCCTCCTCCTGTTTCCCCTTCTTCAGAGGTTCAATGAAATACTCGTCCTTGTCCGTGCGAATCATGCCAGCCTGAAGGGACAGGGCAAAGATTGAACAGTTCAAATTACTGCCCATGCTGCAGACATTTTGAATAAATCTCTACAATATGCATAAGCACACTTTAGCCTCCTCCAGGGAGCAGTTAGGATGCAGAGAGTAAGCAAGATGAATTCCTGATTAAAGCAACATCAGTGTCTGTGCTTGACAAGGAAGGGCAATAGTAAAGCATTAGACTAAAGGGATTTCTCCTGGAATCTAATTAACCAGAGCCAGGATTATGCTATAGGAGGAGAGGGAGCCATGATCGGAACACCACTACAGTCAAAGAATGCATAACATCTTTTGCATTATGTTAGAGCGGTAAAGTGCATTAAAATGGCATCTACACAGCAGTATGACTCGCAGGCTTTGAAAAAGAAAAGTCTTGAAACAAATCCTGCACTGCTTGCCTTCAAACTGACTTGATCTACCAGTAAATAGCAACACTAACTTGGGTGGAGACATCTTGGCTGCAATCCAAGGAGAAGGAGGAGGAAGAGGAAGAAGAGGATTGGGCTGACAGCAGTTACAGGTGGGATGGATGAAATTTTATCTTCCATTTTCTATTTTATTTGTCAATGTGCCCACAGGGGTAAAAACAGAACAACAGAGACAGAGTACTTAAAGAAGCCACATTTTGTAATCCTGCTCCAGCACTCACTTCTGTATCAAAATTATAGTGGAGAATAGAATAGAATAGAATAGAATAGAATAGAATAGAATAGAATAGAATAG